CGCCGGCGTTGTGCACCCCTGGCTTTGAACCCACCTGGAGCGCCCCCCCTCCGACCCCCCGTTTCCCTCATCCCTCTCCCCTTCTCTTGTCTACATATTGCTATTGTCATCTTTAATATCACATGGAGATATGAAAAGCTGAAAGTTGCCTCTTTTCCTGCCAGGTTAAATTGTTCATCAGGAATGTCTATTATTCCCACAAGTCAACTTTCCCCTTTGTGGTATGTGTCCAGGGGTCAGGCCTGGCACTACATGAAAGTGAAGGGTATTCAATAACCTAGAGCCGTGGAAAGGCTTTAGTCCAACTCCAACCATGTACAGGGTTTTATTGATGCAGCATGCCTTTCTCCATTTGTTTCCTATAAACAGCACATGGTAATATTTAGTAGGTTTCAAACAGAGCTTTTTGCATATTCTCCCTTGTCTACAATGAGCTACTTGGTAGTAGACAGTTCTAATTTACTTAATGCAATTGTTGCTTTTTGTTCTTCCAGAGGGTCTGGGCTGTTTTTGACCCAGTCGCCCCAGCAAATTACTGCACAACTTCATAATTCCTTGGGGGGCCGGGCGCAGGAGTCCATAATCCGCTCTCTGCGGCAGCTGGGGAGGTGTGCATGTTCTCCTGCTTGCCAAACAAGGAAAAATGACCTGGCACGAGCCCACCGTTGCAAAATAACCCCCTTTTGGATGCAACGTCACCAAGGAGGCAATGTGCATCTGCAACCGGGGCCGGCCCAGGGCCTGCCCCAGGGCCGCCTGGCCTGGGCGCATCCCTGTGACGGCAGCTGGCCAGAGGTTATCTTAGGAGACACTGGGTGCATTTCAAGGCTGTTTGGGGCTGTTTTTGCTGGCAAGACCTGGTTCTTGCTGCAGACCGGGCAGGCATCACGTGATGCTCGCCAGCTCCAGCCAAAGAGAAAAGCCACTTTATTGCAAAAGCTGCTGCCTTCCCTTCCTCGGGAGCTGGCGGGCCAGCTGGGGATGCTGCACAGCTGACACGTGCCTCGGTCGCAGGGAACACGGGACGCTCTGCCGGTGAGGTGAGGAGCAACTCCAGCCTTTCTGCAGTGCGATCTACCAGCTGTTTTCTCCAGCTGCCCCATTTCCAACACGACCAGGCCAACCCCCTTCCCAGCCCCGGGGCTAACGGAGAAAGCAGCCAGTGCAATTAAGCCCCGCTGCTCCCTGCGGGGACCCTCTCGGGAACAAACGACAGGGGCTCCTGCGACTGTTATGGGCTGCCCCCAGCCCAGTGTGAGCGCTTAACACCTCATTGTGCTGCAACCTGTGAGCAGGCAGCTGCAAAATCAAACACAAGTAGCTCTGGTCGGATGCAGGAACGCTGGGTCACAGCAGGAGCTGGCACGAGAAGAGCCTCAGTCGCTGCGGTCCCTAGCTACCAACCCTGCTAGGAGGGAGGTGCGGGGGCAGAGGGGTGCAGCTGTAAGTGGGTGATGCTCCTCAAACCTTCAGGTCCCCCCCAGAGGCACGGGCTACCTCTGAGAAGGGCCAGGGAGGAGGCGGTTTGAGAAGCGCCGGTACCTGCGGAGGGCTGGAGCTGGCCCAGCTCTCAGCACCCTCTGCCGGCACCGTTTCCCCGGGCCCCGGCCAGATGTGGCCTTCCTGCTCGGGGAGGGAAGCAGAGCCTGGGCGAAAGGCCCCACGAGCGGCCTCGCTGCCACGAGATCTCGCCGTGCTGGCTGCCAGGGCCGCCCTGCGCTGGCACATGTGAGCTGGCACTGCTCCCGGGCACCCACCTGGGTTTGTCACGTGCTGTCATCTCTTCCACCCAGCGCTGAAAGCAATTCTCTAAAGCATCCCTCCCTCAGCCCTCCTGGAGACAAACCTGCGATGCGATTTGCCATTGCTGTAAAATCAGATAACTCAGGGCGTCTCTGCTCAGCACGAGGGAAGGAGACGCCCAGCC